CGTCGCCCCCGCCCCCTAAGCCGCTGTTGCCATGGCGACGCCGAGGCGAGCCGCGCCGGCCGCGGCCGAGGCCGCCCGAGCCCCCCGGGCGCGGGGGCGGGGCTGCGAAGGGGAGGGGACCCCCGGGGGGGGGCCGCGGCGGCCCCCTCACCTCTTCCCTGAACGAGGGCACGCCCCCACCCACCTAGAGGAATCCACGCCCCGCACCCCGTCCCGGCTTGACTCTGTGCGGTCCTCCACTCACGAGGTCAGGGAAACTAAGCCTCTGAGAGAAGGCGTGTGATCTGTCCTCTGGGGCCTGCGCCTGGTAGTACCCTGGCCACCCGGCCCCCTAGGCTGGGTGCCATTCCTTCAGCAGGCGACCGTCCCTGACCCTCAGGGTGAAGCCCCTTGCCTGGAACCTTGGTACTTCAGCAGGGACAACCACCTCAAGGACAGGGTCCCTAGCACCTAGCTCAGGCAGGGAGCAGAGGCTGAAGGGTTTGCTGAGTATCCCTATTGCCTGCTTCAAGATTTGCAGCCACACCTGCCAGAAGACTGAGCCTTTGCTCGACCGGCTGCCGCAGGGCCCCATTATGACCCATGGTGGGCAGGGGTCTGTTTCTAGGACGAGTATGGCAAACCTCAGCCAGAGCCCCCATTCAGGCCATTTCATTTGTCCATCTACCCGGCTGCACTCGCAGGACAGAGCTTAATCCACCCCGAACCCCAGGAGCTCCTGGTCCCATGGAAGAGACAGGGAAGAGAGCGGGCAGGTTGAGCCAGTGCTCCCTTGTTAGGTGAGGGAAGATTTAGGGACTCAAGGGGCCACAGGCCGGGGTGTGCAGGACTTGCAACTACAGAAGGCTATAGAGGGAGAGGAAAATTCGTGGGAGGTGAGAGTTCCCTGAGGGAGGAATTTGCGAGGGGTTCTGGGGTCTCACCCCCCCATCCCAGCCTCAATTCCAGGTGGTATAAGAACAGAAGCGAAGGGGATAGTAACTCATTTTGAAGTGACTGTTGTACACGATCTGATCACCACCTTTCATCCATCATACAAAAAAGAATCCAGAGGTGGACACTTGCTGTAGGCCATGCCCTGTGCTGATCTGTCCATCTCTATGGCCCCAGCACCCTAGTTATGATGAGGTGAACCATTAGCTACACACATCATCTCAGGTCATCCACACAAACAAGAAAATGACAGAGAAATACTACCCCTTTCAGCAAATGAGGAAACCTCGCTCAGAGAGGTAAGATGACTTGCCCAAGGACACACAGTTTCCAGGCCTACCTAATGCCAGACCTTCTTCCACAGGACCCTCCTCCTCTGCCCACCCTCTGCAGGCTTTCCCTTCTCCTACCTTTCCCCCCTTACTCTTGCTAAGCCCGCTATATGCAGAGCCCTGAGCTGGGTCCTCTGGCGGACACGAGGTCCTTCAGGGTGTGATGGGGGAGTTAACAGGGACCTTCCGCATTCCTCTCCCTTGGTCTCTCTGATCCAAAACTCTGCACATCCTCTAGGGCCTACGCGAAACACCACCTCGTCCAGGCCTTCCCAGGCAGCGGGGTCCAAATGCCTCTCACTTGGCAGCTCAGTGTCACCCAAGCTACTCTGATCAGCTGTAGTTCAGCAAATATCTCTTCGGTGTTAGGGGCCACAAGAGGGACCCTCCTCCAGAGAGCAATCCCTAATGGAGAGGGACCACATATGGTGGCAGGCCAAGGAACAGTAGGCTCTCTGGGAGACTCGGCATGAAGGCCGGAATCTGCACTTGCGTGTAGGCTCTGGGTGCCTCAACCTTGGCCTCGTGCCGGTTCGGCGGGGAGGGGAGATGCACCTGGCGAACTTGGACGAGTTCATCTCTCACAGGTGTTGTCAAGCAAGTTCCCCAATGGGCTTGTACTTTGTCTTGGTTTTTATTTTCTACACTGAGGAAAATTTCACGATTTTTACATTCTTGTGGTACAAAGAACCACGAGGCATTTTTCACAATTTCTGTAGTCATTATGTAGCTATACTGACAGCTTTATCCTATTTCTGAGTTCTTTTTTTAAAAAAAGCGTTCTTCCTTCTAGGAGGTTGAGTGGGACTGTGCCACTTCCTCTTCCCCGCCCCTCCCCCTAGGGCTAGACTTCAGGCTCCTCTGACAAGCTGCCTCCTCCCTGAAGCTTACCATCCCTCACCAAACCAACGATGACCTTGGGGTCTCAGACGCTCTGTAACATTCATTAATTCATTCACTCACATTTATCGAGAGCCTACTATGTGCTAGACAGAGTAACCAAGACAGCCAGCCGTTAACACTATGAGGGGAGCAGAGTGCAGATTAATAAGAGGACAGGGGGCTCAGATCCGTTGGGAGAGTGATTCTTCAGGGGAAGCGGAAGGTCCCTGTTAACCCCCCCATCATACCCTGAAGGACCTTGTGTCCGCCAGAGGACCTAGCTCAGGGCTCTGCATATAGCGGGCTTAGCAAATGCTCATCCTCCCAGAAAGCCACGGTTGGAAGGGGCTCAGATCCAGAAGTCTGGATATAAGGGTGAATGAGACCCGGAGAGGGGAAGGGACTTTCCCAAAATCACATAGCAAGGTTAATCAAAGACCCCAGACTCCAGTTCCCTACTCTGCCTGGGCTCACAGTTTGCTTACTGACCTCTTACATGGGGTGTAGGGCCAAGGGCGGCTTTTCACCCAGCCCTGGCCTGGCCGAAGGGAGAGGGGCCTTTTCTCCTTTCCCTTCATGAGCAGGTCCAGGGACATGATTTCTGGAGGCGGCTACAGCTCCAAACTCAAGAAGCATCTTCAAGTCAGAAAATCTTATTCTAAACCCGAGTCAACCTTAGTGAGAGGCAGTAGGTAAATCATGTCCCTTCTTTCAGGAAAGCAGGGCTCTTGAGGCCCACTTTCTAGGACTGCTGTGGAGTGCAGCTGGTTCTGAGCCCTGGTTTGCCTGTCCCCTGCTCCGTGTTCTCAGCCACTGGCCCACTCCGAGCCTCAGTGTCCCTATCTGTAAAATAGACTAATGATGGTACCTACTTTATAGGGTTGTGGGAAGGATCAAATAAGGCAAGCTATCACTGGTAAAATAGTAAGTATTCAGCCACTACACTCCATAGTTGCAGCTTTATTATTATGACTACTGATGTTGGCGGAGAGCAACCACCGATTTTTGCCCTGAGAAGGGCCGTGACCACCACGGGCGGGAGTCTGTCTGGGCTCTCCCAGGAGCCTGAAGGCTGTCTCGCAGCAGGGACAGGCTGGTGTCATGCCTAGTGGATGAATAAACGCGCTCGCAAAATGATCCCGGAGCCATGGAATGTCATCCCGTTTGGTAGTTTTGAACGCTTTTAAACAAGCACTTTTTTCTAAAGCAACCTCACAGAGACTCCCAATGTACAAAGTGTGCGAGCCGGGAGTGGCCGGGGCTGCTCAGGGGGAGGCCTCAGCTTTCATTCACTAGAGCAGGGACTGGAAGCTCAGCGAGCAGCCAGTGCACTCCGTGAGGACAGAGCCCGCCAGATGGGGTGTGCGGCCTCTACGGTCCCGTGCCCAAGGCTGCTGCCTGCGGGACTGGGGGGGACAGCTGTGTCGCCTCTGCCCCTCTCTGTGACGGCCGGCTGCCCATTCCAGCTGATCCACACGGCTCCCCTGGGCTTCCATCCGTGCCACTGACCAAAGTGCAGGGCAGTCCCCAGGGGAGGACAGAGAGGCCTGTGGGTCTCTGGAGGGAAGGACCCAAGTTCTCGGCAGCTCCCTTACCCCTTTCCAGCCACTATGCCACCATCCTGACATCTGGCCCTAACCCTGTTCACCCCTTCCTCAGGATGTTCTGAGAAACTTTCTCAAGGGCCTTAGAGAATTCCAGAACATGATTTGTTCATTCACCCATTTCAGTCAATTCCAAGTGATGCCGATGCGGAGAGATGACCAGTTGTGGAGCTCCTGCTCTATGGGGTCACTGCCCATGGCACTCACGGGACCCCTCCCAAGCTCCAGGAGGGAGGCCCAGGAGGGTCCGGTGCCTGTTATTGGGAATGCAGGGAGGATGCGTGCTGCAGAATACAGAATGTTTGGGGTTTTCAGAGGCTCAGAGAAGTTAAGCCACTTGCTGAAAGTGGTAGAGCTCTTAGGTGGCCAAGCTGGGGGGCTCTAGCCCCTGGGGTGGGCACGGTGGGGCCCCTCTCCCTATGTGCCCGCACACAGGCCCCAAAGGCCAGACTGGGAACCGAGAGCTCAGCCCCAACCACCTGGGACCACAGGCCAGACCAGAGGAGAGAAAGGGAGTGCCCTCTCTCCCTGACCACAGGTGAGGACCTGGCTGCTCCGGGTGGGGACACCTTGCCCAGGCCCAGCCTCCCACATGCCTCGTGCACGAGTCACCTAGGCAGCACCTTAGGGGATGACAGGTTTGCATTCCAGCGCCTCTACTTGGGCACCCAGAGGCGGCATGTCACCACTGGTCTCGGAGCCATGTTCAAACCTGAGTGCGAAGCACAGGACACTGTGCCTGGCACATAGTACGCGCTCTGTCCCCAAGGGTGACTCCCTTCCCCAACTCCATCATCTGTTTGGTGCTGCATCCGCCATCCTGTCTCCATCGCCTTCTCCCCTTCCAACACCCAGACCAGTGAGCAGGCCTGACCTGCCTTTGACTCCCACTGAGACCTTGCTCAGGTTGGAGGCAGAACCCAGTGGGCTCTCCCTCGGCCTAGGCCCCACTCCTCCTCCAGCAGCTGTCTCTAAGGCCTGCACCCAAGGAAGGAAGCTGTTTTAACAGGTGTGTCTCTCAGGA